GTGCCAGAGCACAGCCTGTTCAGTGTCTTCCAGGTCGCTCAATCTTCTGTGTGCCCAGGAGGGAGTTACAGTCTCAGCTACTGATTAAGGTGCTGGGTTTTAACCTGCCACTTTTGGATTCTCGTTTGCTGAGGTGTTCCTTGCTTGCTGAGGTGTGCATTACATGGCTTGTATGTGCACAGACCACATTGTCATCAGCATACTGGAGTTCTATAACAGATGTTGTTGTAACCTTGGTTTTGGCTTTCAGTCTGCTGAGGTTAAATAGCTTGCCATCTGTCTGATAGATGATTTCCACTCTGGTGAAGCTTCCCATCAACAAGATGAAGTATCATAGCGATGAAGATGGAAAATAAGGTTGGGGCAATAACACATCCCTGTTTGACACCTGATTCCACCTTAAATGGGTCACTTTGGGAGCCATTGCTGTCCAAGACTGTTGCTAATCATGTCATGCATGGCATGTTTCACCTGTATAGAACTTTAAGTTACTCTCGTAATAACAAGATCTTAGTTGCTATGTTGTTGGAGTCTCCAAGTATGCATGGATTTGATCCTCTCTCTCTCCCCCCCCCCCTAAATTTATTGTTGAAGCCTTAGCCTTTGAAATCAGGGATTACTAAAACAAGGAGAAAATGTAAGAGGGTCCACAATCAAACCGAGGCAAGGATAATGCTCACTACAAAAAACAACAATGCTTGGTAAGGCGAAGATCAGTAGGAAAAGAATAAGACCACATTTCAAACTGATAGATTCAATCAGGGAAGCAACGGCTCTGAGCTGCAAGGTGCAAGTGGGACTGTTGAGGATAGGGTGACTTGGAGGTCTCTAATTCACAGGGCTCTCATAAGTCAAAGTTGACTTGAAGGCTGCTAATAGCAACAATGAAACAAGAAAAATTACTCATAGGGTGACAGTAACTGTTCTTGCCAGTCTTTATATTCTAGCCCCTACTCCCACGTCCAGTTCCTCCATGAACAAAACTAGTCTTAGGCTTCTCTGAAATGAGATATACCACTTTAGAAAGCTTGGTTTCAGAAAAACAAAGAACACACCAGTTGTGGATGGATGAACATTCAGATTCATCAGGTGACACTCCTATGAGTCAAGACAAATACTGTAGTTTCTGAGTTTGTTAGTGATACTATCCGTTGTCATGTTAAAAACATCTATATATATAAGAGATAAAAGGTGAATGAATAAATTAGAAGTTAGAGTTTGGTTTGGACATGGAGAGCTCAGATCAGTTATATTTCTGGATTACAGCTCTCAGAATTACTGTGCTGATAGGGTGGATGGCTGGAATTTGTACTCCTTCCACCGCCCCATGTTTATAGGGCCAGATTACGCATATATGATCCATAGGGAGAGAGGAACTAAGAGTAGGGGCTGCCGGCCAGAGTATCTTATTTTGATCCACATTGTACATGTAAGAGTGTCTTCAGGGTCACCTCTCCCCATTCTGGAAAGAAAGATTGGGCAGAAGATTTGCCTTTGTTGTGATGATGATGTATATAGCACTATCAATGTATTGGGTGCTTTGCATAAGTAGTTTATAACTGTTAATTTGACAGTTCCTTCCTCATATGATTACAATGTTAATAAGGCACAAGAAAAGAGAATGGCATAGCAGTGGGGGGAGGAATTAAGTCCATGTGATGGTGGCTGCTTCTCTCCATCTCAAGCCAGGTCAGTGACATTTTTTATGGAGGGAGGGCCTTTCCACAGCTGCTGGGATTAAATTTGATGGTGCTGTGCCTGCCTGTTCTTCTTGCCCTCAGGGGCCACTGCAGTGACTGGTCGTGATGACGGTGATTATAATGATCATATTCATATAGCGCAATCACTGTACATAACACTTTCCAAGTAAAAGAAGAAAACCACAATTTCTCATGCGTATACCTCATCTAGAATAAAAGATATTTATCCTTTATCTACTTCACATGAAAGCAGCTCTCTAGAGAGCATCACATTTCCTCAAATTTACCCAATTTAGCAGGCGCGATCCCAGTTAATCCTTTTTGTCCCCTTTTTTTCAATTGCTTTTATAATGTTTCTCTCTTCTACTCCAGCTTTCCTTCATTCTCCTCAGCTTATGTCATTTGCTTTAAAATGATTCTGCAAAAATAATTTGCACCCATCAGGGCCCTTCCACACAGCCATATAACCCAGAATATCATGGCAGTTAATCCACAATATCTGCTTTGAACTGGGTTATCTGAGTCCACACTGTCATGTAACCCAGAGAGTGTTTGAGAACCGGGACATCCGTAGGGATACCAAGGTGCTTGTTTATAAAGCTATATTCCTCTCGACCCTGTCCCTTCAGCACTCTAACTGGAGGTCAGCTGTGACCAGCAGTGCTGCAGAATTCGAAGAGGCAAAATGAGAGCAAAAGAGAGAAATGTGCCAAGAGGAAGGCACATCAAGCCAACCCCGACCAGGACCGCCTTCACCTGGAAACCAATGCTCTCATTGCAGGAGTTGATGCAGATCAAGAATAGGGCTCCATAGTCACCTGTGGACCCACCCTGGAGGATTATCCTACTCGGACAATGAGGGATCGCCTAAGTAAGTTAGTTAGTTAGTTAGTTAGTAAGAAGTAATAACCCAGTTCAAAGCAGATCTCTGAGTCCACACTGCCATATAACCCAGTTCAAAGCAGATAATGTGGGATTTATACAGCTGTGTTGAAGGGGTCTCAGTGTGGGAGTGAGAAGAAATTAGAATCTGGTCTTTCCCAGTAGCTCAGGCAAAAGCAAACTGCTGGAACCTCTCTTAGCTTCTGTGTTTTTCCTAATTTATCTATGCTGCTGTCTTGACCACACTCTACTGTTGCTTGTTCACATCTCCCAGGCCCCATCTGCACTACCACATAACAGTTTGACCTGAATTATATGGGTCAGTATAAACTGCATTGAACTGAACTATATGAGTCTGCACTGCCATATAATACAATTCAATCTGCATTACAATGGCAATGTAGATGGGGGCCTCGGTCTTCATCTGTGAAATGTCAGAGGGTAACTACAGTAGAGTACAGCCATGTACAATAGAGATCAATAGAAATACTGGGCTCTTTTTACACATCTAAATAGTCTAGGGACCCTTCCACACAGCCCTATAACTCAGAATATCAAGGCAGAAAATCCCACAGTATCTGCTTTGAACTGGGTTATCCGAGTCTACATTCAGATAATGTGGGATTTTCTGCCTTGACATTCTGGGATATAGGGCTGTGTGGAAGGGCCCTAGGTTTCCTCAGTAAGATACTCTCCAAATATGTTGGACTACATTAGTCAACAAAAGAAAGAAAATATCTCAAATGATAATTCAACAAAACAGGACCATCAATAAAAGAAAACTGAATAAATAAACTATTCAAAAGGGATCAAAACCTAAAGGATAAAACCTAAAGGATGCCTACTTAGCCCTGAGTTTAGGGAATATGAACATTTCCCAATCCTGATTTACCAGGCAGCAGTTGCTGTGATCTATTGTCTTTTTCCTCTGTTGTTTGGGAAGCAATTGGCTGACTGTCTCCTTCCATCTCCTTGTGTGGGAGAATTGTGATGAGTTCCTATTTCTTCCTGTCTCACCAAAGTTTGTTTATGATAGAGGATAGAAACTTTAGTTAGTTGCTTCCCAATTGATAGGGAAAGAGACTTCCCCTCAACTATCTCTGTGTAGCTACTGCCTAGTAGGTAGAGACCAGAGGAACTGGGACAGAATTCAGTACGTGGCAACATTGTGTTCCTTTCACATTTGTAAGTCCACAACAGAATACCAACCTATTTTAAGAACCAACAGTATTGAAAGAAAGAAAAAACATAGGATATAGCAGTGCTCATGTGCAAAGAAGGGTGGGGTGGGGAGAAGTCTCAAAATAAAGAATACCAGACATAAACATATAATAACAAAGGTTCAGTGGAACACACTCACAAGTGGTTATTTTGCTAGTGTCACAGTGCTGCTGACGTGCCCTCTAGTTGTTTCTGAGTTATAGAAATCCCAAACTGAACCTATCACAAGTTTTTCTTGGCAAGTTTGGGAAGTGGAGGTGATGGGAGAGTTCTCATTGTCTTCCTTTGAGGCTAAAAGGGTGTCCAAGGTCACTCACTTATGTTATATCTTCTTTTTCTTCTACTTCTTTTTGTGGTTAAGGAGGCTGTCATTCCTGCATAACAAGTGGAGAACAGGGCAAGGTTTGGTGGAAAATCTGGCTATATCCTTGTAGCCAGATGCAAAATTATTGCACCACCTTCAGAGACATCCAGAGGATCCATCCATAGAATGGTATTTGTGTGTGTTGACAGTTTATAGTGGCTTAACAGAAAGTCCATGCCCAGCTGTATCATAGCACTATGCTACACTGTGCCAAACTGGCTTCTGACCTGAGTCTATAGCAAGTAATGATAAATGCTTTTACCAAAAAATATACTCAGATTCTCTTTTTCAGTATTTAATGTACTGCCTTTTCTTTTTCTGGTTCTGTTTGTCTAACACTCACTATTTCTAGCCAGGATAACCATGGCTCTGTTGCTGATGGGAGCTTATATATTGTATCAGGAGCGAACCAAGAGTACAGTTATGATGTATTTGAGAAAACACAAAGTTTAAAAACTTGGCATTCAATTAAATGTCCTTTGACCAGTAGCTGGCCACTTGGAGTGCCTCTGGTGTTGCTATAAGAAGGTCCTCCATTGTGCATGTGGCAGGACTCAGGCTGCATTGTAATAGGTGGTCTGTGGTTTGCTCTTCTCCACACTCGCATGTCATGGACTCCACTTTGTGGCCCCATTTCTTAAGGTTGGCTCTGCATCTCGTGGTGCCAGAGCTGTCGTCTCTGATGGGAGCTGTAGTCAACATATTTGGAGTGTGCCTTGTTGAGATAGATGAATCTGGGGCATTCTAGCAACTAACATTACCTTTAATCATTTCTATGATGTTTCCAGTACGTATGTCCATTGCGTCCTACCCCAATGAAGAGCCATTTTCCACCAGTGAATTTTTATTGACACTCAGCACACAAGCGAGATTTAAAAACCAACAAAGCAGTAATTTATTGGTTAATTATTATTAAAAGCAGGAGACCTGTATGTTATGCAGAAGCAGGTCTCCCCTGGAGTGACCAATGAGCAGAAATACAACATCCTGCAAATACTTCTCCAATTTCAAAATAATGATTGCTATTTTTTCTTCAGCCCAGCTGAATACTAGCAACAAACACAAAAAAATCATTGGTTTTTGAAAATGCCCAGTGCTTCCTGACATGATCACACAATCTTACGTATGAAAAAATAGATATCTATGTACATTATATAAACATGTTTACATATTTCACATAAATTAAGAGTCAACAGAAATTATTCCTAGAAAATGCTTCTGTGCTTTTATGGAGATAAACCCCCACACTCCCCTGCCCTCAACACATAGGGAAATAGTTGGGAAAGAGTCCAGTAAAGACCTGTCAGGCTTTTCCCTCCAGGACAATCTGAGACCTAACATGATCTCAGCCTTACTTATGCAAACTAATGCCTGACTGTTTAAAAGAGGAGCATTAGCCAGTAACAAGTCTGCTGCTACATGCCCAGCTGATGCTCTGGAGTGGGGATCAAGGTTGCCAGCACTCCCATATTCTGCAGGCATAGTGACCAATCCAAATTCCCAGTGCAGGGCGGGCTTTAGGAATCAGTGGACCATTTGATGTCCTGTGAAATGCCCCTCTGGGACAAAACTGTTGCCAAGGACGGCCTGTTCCTTCTGCCTCGATGAATTCCATGCAGGATCTTGGACAGTCAAAGGCATTGTAATCCTAGTGCGTGTTGAGAGCAGGCAGAGTCCCTTCGTAGCAATGTAATAACGGTTCACAATAACCTACTTGAGCCAAAATATCAGCTATAACCATCTGAACTCCCAAGCTGGGAGCCAGGACACGTGTCTTGCCCAGCAGATGGGCTTGAGTCTAAACGCAAACTGCTTGAGACGGCAGCTTAAGGGCTCAGAGCCCACAACCAGTGCATTGGTTCTCAAAGGTAGTCCTCTGAGTGGGCCAAATCCAAGTCCATGCTAGGTGCCAAAGCTCCTTAGCTTTTGTCTTGCACCTCTTCCTCCTTCCACCCGCTGGAGTTCTTCCCAAACTTGTATACGAGTCTCCGGCCATCCACCCGTTCTAAGATCTCCCGCTTGTAGTAATACCTGAGGGAAGGAATGACAGAGATAAGAGTTTTGCAAAATGGAGACCCAAAGAGTTAGGAACTTTGGATGGTGGGAGGAATTATAGTACATGATCAAATAGGAAGTTTGGGTCAGGAGGAGGAAAAAGAGGAAGTGTCAGGGGTTGGAATCAAGGGTTCTTATCCCTTTGAAGTACAGTCCTGCTTGTGTGTTTTAGGCCCCACTTACACTGCCAAATAATCAAGTCTGAACTGTGTTATAATGGTCAGTGTAGACCAGGCATGGGCAAACTTTGGCCCTCCAGATGTTTTGGACTTCAACTGCTACAATTCCTAATAGTCTACCAGTTGTTAGGAATTGTGGGAGTTGAAGTCCAAAACACCTGGAGGGCCAAGGTTTGCCCATGCCTGGTGTAGACTCATATAATGCAGACTGAACTGCACTGAACTGGATGATATATGTCTACACTACTATATAATCCAGTTCAATAAAGTTAATCCACATTTTGAAACTAGATTATAAGGCAGTTTAGATGGGGCCTTAGAGGGCATCAACACTGTAGAATGAACACAGTTTGATACCACTTTAACTGCCATGGTTAAATCTATGGAATCATGGGAGATGTAGTCTGGTGAGGCACTAGCACTCTTTGTCATAGATGGCTAAAGATTTGTAAACTACAATTCCCATGATCCCATTACACTGAGCCATAGTTAAAATAGTGTCAAAGTGCATTCATTCTAAAGTGTAGATGGACCCTTAGCTGCTGCATACTTTTTGTAATTAATTGTCTATTTTCTCAAAGAAGGGCGACTAAAATGAGCAAGGGTCTGGAGAATACGAGGAGTGGCTTAAAGAGCGGAACTTGTTTTGCTTGCAGAAGAGAAGGCTGAGAGGAGACATGATGACCATGTATAAATATGTGAGAGGAAGTCATAGGGAGGAGGGAGCAAAGCTTGTTTTCTCCTGCCCTGGAGACTAGGACATGGAACAATGGCTTCAAACTACAGGAAAGGAGATTTCATCTGAACATGAGGAAGAACTTCTTAATTGTGAGAGCTGTTCAACAGTGGAACTCTCTGACCTGGAGTATGGTGGGGGCTCCTTCTTTGGAGACTTTTAAACAGAGGCTGGATGGCTATCTGTTGGAGTTGCTTTGAATGCGATGTTCCTGCTTTTTCATAAGGGGTTGGACTAGTTGGCCAATGATAGAGCTGGTCTTTTCCAACTCTATCATTCTATGATTTTATTCTGTGCTTACTGCTTGCCCTTGCACTTTCTTTGAAGGTTACTATTGTCATCAGAAAAGCATTTACCTCATTGCTCGGCTTAGTTTCTCATAGGTCATGCTGCTGTTCTTTTTCTTTTGCCCCCAAAGCTGGGCCACTGCCTCAGAACGGAGGAATTTGAAGATGCCTTCACGCCGGTCCTCCCATTTCAACAGTCCCTCGTTCAACTCTGGGTGTATTAGAATGTCCCGAATAAATTCCCATAGGTGGATGCCTCTTGGGGCTGTTATATAAAAAAGAGAGCATAAGGAGTCATTTAGATGTATAGATCATAATAATAATAATAAACCTATATTTATACCCCGCTACCATCTCCCGAAGGACTCGGTGTGGCTTACAAGAGGCCGAGCCCAAATACATCAGTAAAACGCAACAACAACAATATAATAACAACAAACTCATAAGCAAGCAAAAACACCGTTATAACATGTGTAGGCAGATTCAGGTTTGTCAAAACTACTTTTTCTTTTATACTTAGAATCCTGAGCTCCATCAGCTGATGCAAAACAACAACAACAATAGCAGCAGCAGCAGCCACCACCCAAAACAAAACCCCTTGACACTTAGAATTACAGAGTTCTAGCCCAACAATATGTTTTAAGTACAAAAACCATCTAAAATGCACACCTGGTTATGCCAAGCAAAATAATCTGTGTCAAAGGGGGTTGCTTCCATTTCTGCTACTATGAAATTATTAAAAGTCAGGGATTTTTACTAATCCCATGTAAATCAGCCAGAAAGCTACCAGTATTTTCTCTCTTGAGGAAGTGATCTACGTACAGTGTTTGCTTTTTTTGGTCTCCAGATAGTCTCTGTTGTCCTTGCTGACCTTCCTGGGCCGTCCTCTTTTCCGCTTCTTCAAATCTTCTTTCTTAATTTCTGTAGAAAGAGAAGGAGTGGTAAGACACACTAATTTTTATGACCCAGCCCCTTCTACACTGCCATATAATCCAGATTATCAAAGCAGACAATCTACATTATCTGTTTTGAACTGGAATATATGAGTCTACACTGTCATATAGTCCAGTTCAAAGTAGATAATCTGGATTTTGTATGGCAGGGTAGAAGAGGCCCCAATGAAGATCGAGATAAATAGATTAATAGACATCCCTTCAAAAGGCATCCCTGAAATGCAATGTTTATTTATTTTAATTTTGCAAAAAAATCTCTGATCTTTAGAAGAAGGGGATGGCATTAGGGAGTCAGATTTTTTGAATCTGGAGCAATGCCTTTTCACTAATACTACAATGATTCATTGATCAATGCACATATTATTTGAGTAATCAGGGTGCATCCATTGATGAATAGCTGACCCCTTCTACACAGCTATATAAAATCCAGATTATCTGATTTGAAGTGGATTATATGGCAGTGTAGACTCACATAATCCAGTTCAAAGCAGATAATCTGGATTTTATACAATATTAACATTTTCTGTTTCAACTTCTGCTGCCTATTTTTTCATGTCACTGTTATCACAGGATAAGCTCTATGTTCTACTCTGTTCAGTGCTGAGATCTTGCAAAATTTTCCAATATCAGAAAGCACTCGATCAGCTGCCGTCCTTTCTATGAATAGTATCTGTGTTACTATTTTCTTGATGGAGATCCTGGTGACACAATGGGTTAAACCCTTGTGCCAGCAGGACTGAAGACCAACAGGTCGAATCTGGGGAGCGTGTGGATGAGCTCCCTCTGTCAGCTCCAGCTCCCCATGCAGGGACATAAGAAAAGCCTCCCACAAGGATGGTTAAACATTGAATATCTGGGTGTTCCCTGAGCAGTGTCCTTGCAGACTGCCAATTCTCTCACATCAGAAGCAACTTGCAGTTTCTCAAGTTGCTCCTGACATAAAAAAAAATGTCTTGATGGTAGGTAGCTGTTAGCTTTTTAGATAGCAGCTGTATGTAAAACAGAAGAGCTTTGGTGTTATATGTCTTCCTGGTAAGGGCCCTTCCACACAGCCATACAACCGAGAATATCAAGGCAGAATCAGAATTATTCCCTAGCTTGAAAAAGTTGGTGTAATCTCGAGGACCAACTTTTTCAAGCTAGGGAATAATTCTGATATTTTTGATGGCATTCACAAAGACCTGCATATGTATGCCTAAAAACAAAACAAAAAACCCAACCCCCCAATGTCTCACCATTAGACAAGTGTCTGTGCTTTATATCTATGGGATCAAGGTCCAGGTCACTTCCACCGGAGTCCTGAGAATGAGGGCTCTGAGACATTGTCCCTGAAGAGAGAAGAAAGCCAAATTATATCTCAGCTTCTGCTAATACCTGATTGTGAGTGTTGCTCAATTTCTACTTGTATGCACAGCATTAGGTTTGGAGGAAATCTCATGCTAGGGCCTGCATTCTCTTGCTACTTGGATAACAAGCAAAGGGCTCAGTATTGTGGCAAAGTGTCAATTCTTTGACCTAATAATAGAAACGGGGCACTTGGGAATTTGGATCTTTCAAGACTGATGAGCCTTCCATGCAGAGTTAGGAAAACTACAACCCTAGCTAGGACAGCCATGGTAATATAGGTTGTAGGTTCTGAGGGCCCTTCCGCACAGACAGATAACCCAGAATATCAAGACAGAAAATCCCACATCTGCTTTGAACTTGGTTATCTGAGTCCACACTGCAGATAATGTGGGATTTTATTCAGCTGTGTGGAAGGTTGCAGTTCCCAAGATTAATATTTCCAAATTGATATCACCTAAACTACAGCCTGGCAGGAATAACCGGGCATGAACAGAGAAGAATGGGATTCTACCTGCAAAAGACACCGAACTGTCTGGTGACATGGCGCCAGAGATGTAGCCAAGATCAGGCTGGGTGAAAAGGTTTGGAAACTTCATCTCGCCCAGGTCATCCTGAGTACATGAATTGCCCAGTTCTGGAACAACAACAAAAAGAAGGTGAGGTTTAAATACACACATGTGGATACGCACACACAACATGGGCTTCAACCACACCAAACCCAAGCAGTCAAGGTATTCATCTTCTCACCTAAAGGGCTGGAGTCCAGAAGGACCTCTTGAGAGACATCATCTTGCTTTAGCACAGATATAATCCAGCCAAGTTCATCTGGGACAGAGGCTACAGAGGAGGAAGAAGAAGACACTGTTTGTGAGTAATAAAGCCAACTCTTTTCAATAGAGACCCAATGCCCTTCCTTATCTCATCAAGGAGCCAAGCTAAAAGCTGATCCTTCAACCCTTAGAATGATTATAGGAAAGTTGGGACAAAATATGGACAGTGAACCATGGTTCCATGAACCATATACAGGAACCATTGGGTCCTATGATGCTTTGTAGGGACCCCTCCCTTCTCCCTCATGTTAGCATGGCATAAAAGTGATGGGAAGTGAGATGAGACAGTGATGGTAATTCAGTGTGGACATAGCAGAATAGCTATCTTTTATACACATGCAGGTCTGTGTAAATGCCATCAACAAATATCTAATGGCAAGTTGGGTAGCTGAACTCTTGGGTGAGCCAGTAATAAAAGATAGTTTATCCTGCCACAGTCCATAGCAAATTTCTACTACTGTCTTGCCGAGGAGGCCCTTCCAACAGATGCCCTGTTAGTTAATATATTTCAGTGTGTGATTTACTTTTTGGATTACAAGTCTCAGAACGTCTTTGCCTAGTGTGGCCACTGACTGGAAGATTCTCAGAACTGTAGTCCAAAAAGGAAATTTTATCAAGTTCTTGACCTTGGGAGATGGAGTGAGGAGACCTGGACATCCTGTTTCTGCTCAAACTTGTGGGCCATTTGGGGGGGAAGGCTCATGTCAGTTGGGGATACAACACGTACCGATCTCATGCAAACGTTCATACAGCTCATCCCCAAGAGGCCCAAAGATTATTCCCAGCTGGTCCCGAGAGTATTGACAAAGTGTGTAGCCATCCATATTGCAGCATGAGAAATCAATAGCGCTTGCATCGTACTTGTTCTTCTCCACATGGTAGCTGATCCACTCCAGGACCTGAGATCTGCTCCAGCAATGTGGCATCTCTCCATACCATGTTGGCTTGCCTGCTCAGAAAGGTTGAGAGTTGGGGGGGGGGGGGGGAAGAGAGAACAGGATTAGTTGAGCAGGTGGCGTACTGAATGCCACATTGCCAGTGCCAACCCAGCCCCTGGAACACTCTGTTGCCTGAGCGGCACAGGGTGCGGCCAGTTCATTTACGCACAGGATTTATCTTGCTTAGTCACTGTGGTTGGGTTAACACGTACACCTGTCACCTGCTCCCTTATCTTTGAACATGCCCCTCCCTACTGGGGTGAGGTCATTTAGGACAACTGCTTCTCAGCTCAACCAGTCATAACTACATTAGAACAGGGGCGGGCAGGCTCCAGGCTTGCAGGATCTACTTTGGGTTTTTACTTTGTTTTTGCTTTTTAACTAAAACCTCAAGATCCACAGCCAGTGCCTAGTGCCAAAGTTCTACATTCACAACAACAGAATTCAGAGCCAGACATGTGTAATTGTGTACCAGAACTCAATACAGCTCATTGTCCTTCTACATAAAGATCCACTCTTGGTTAACCTCAGATTTCTTCATTTCAACAGTAGAATTTAGAACAGCAAAACTTCTTCATGCTAATGATACAGTGATCTACTGCAATGCACTGAGATCTCCCATTAGATCCAGATCTACTTTTGGCCCATCTCAGCATTAGAATACTGCATGTAGCCAAAACCAACACTATCTACAGAGACATTCAATGCCCAATAGCTTGTCCTTTGTAGAAAGCCCCAACATAAAGTTCATTGCTGCTGGGAAGGCAGAGATTAGAGACAACTGACCTAGTATTTCTTTTAAAACCTAGCATTTTCCTTTAGCTTTTGCTCTCACATTTGTACAAGCTCAAAGTCTCCCATAGTTTCCAAAGAAGGAGGAAAAGGTGGTGGTGGTGAGGAACTTTTCTATAAGTACAACTTCTAGAATCCTCAGTAAGTATTGCCATACCTGTGCTCATTAGCGATTCTTGAAGTGCAGTTTAAAAAGTAACTTTTCCAACCATAAAAATTCCAACTTATTTTATGGATTTAATATCAATTAACCTGATATAACCTTCTGCCAACCCAACAGTTCAAAAACATGCAAATGTATGTGAGTAGATTAATAGGTACCACTTCTGTGGAAAGGTAATGGTACTCCATGCAGTCATGCCAGCCACATGACCTTGGAGGTGTCTATGGACAACGCCGGCTCTTCGGCTTAGAAATGGAGATGATTGCCACCCCCTAGAGTTGGATTCGACTAGACTTAATGTCAGGGGAATCCTTTACCTTTAACCTTATATTACTGAAAGAGATTAAAATCTCCCACAATTTTAGATTAAAATGAGAACACTAGCCTCCATGTGCACAATGTACAATTTGTGCTGTGCTACAATCTTTCTGCTGCAGAAAGCCAAGTCCTCCAGGGCTAGTGCTTCAGATATTCCCAGAAGATACAAGCTCCCTCCCTCTCTTTGATTGTATGGTGCTCTTTCTCTTACAGAATGCAACTGCATTGCCTACCTGTTGTCTCCATTGCTGTGTGTGTGTTCGACAGAGCAAGAGAAAGGCTGTCGTCATCCCCAAGGTGGGTCAGCAGGTCTGGGTCAGGTGGTGTTTCCTCTGGGTCATATATGGCGCTGATATAGTTGGAGATGAGGCTGCTGATTTCACAGGATCCTGCCATGGATGGTTCTGCCACAAGATTGGAATTGTTAGCTTCAGGGACACATCCAGCAAGCTCGTGAGGCTGAGTGCAACACATGCAGCACCATCATTGGAAGTTTGCATTGATCGAACAGACTTTTCTTATTCTTTGGCAGCATTTTTTTCATATACTGTCCCAGTTTTCCATATTGTTTCTCAGCTTAATAATATGCTCTGCCACCCTTCTAGTCTTTTGTGGAATTAGTATCTCACTCACATGCCAGATGGCCCCCAAAATGGAGGACCCCAGATTTCTCTAGGCACTGACACTTTGCAATAAATCAAATTGTAGCCAATTCATTGAAAACAATGACCTTAATTTAGTTTCAGTCTGGACTGGAGTAGACCTACTTAACCAATTATTTTATCTCTGTGTTGAATCACATAGTGAATTTAGCAGAGATAAAGTTTCGATCTTTCTAATTTTCTGTCTCGATTAGAAAAAAATCTTTAGTAACGTTTGTGAAAGTTGGGAGCCTCTCCAATTCATTTTCATAGGAAAATTAGAGTAGTTTAACAACAAACAGTTTTATTAATTAGTATGGGTTAAACATAGAGGCAAAAGTTTAAATGTTAGTTAACATTGAAGGGTCTACTTATGTCTGCAGAAAAGAGTTAATAGTTATATTTATTGTCATTTTATTAGTTCTTAATAAGTTGAGTGTCGTGTTTAACTTTAATATTATGTAGTTTAGATGTAATGCATATTGTGTTGTTTATTTTTGTGCTATTTTATTTCTATTGTATGTAGATTTTATATAATAAAATAATAATTGATTGACTGTATTCAGTTGGGAATAAACAACAGGATGCCAATCTATATTTATTATATTTATATCCAGTTTGTCAAATAAAATTGTCTGTTCCACTTCTAAAACCTCACGGCAACCCTGCAAGGTAGGCTAGGCTAAAAGAAAGTGACCAGACCACAATCACCCAATGGGCTTCATAGCTAAGGTCTGAAATTCAGTCTTTTTCAGACTAACACTTTAACCCAGCGGTTCATAACCAGAGGCCCATGAATGGATACCATGGGATTAAACAATTTAGATAGGAAAAGTTGTATCCTAGGGCCCTTCCACACAGCCATATAACCCAGAATATCAAGGGAGGAAATCCCACATTTTCTGCTTTGAACTGGAATATGTGGCAGTGTGGACTTAGATAACGCAGTTCAAAGCTGATATTGTGGGATTTCCTGCCTTGATCTTTTGGGTTATATGGCTGTATGGAAGGACCCTTAATTTTCATTAATCTTCTTTCTAAAATCTAAAATTTCCTTCGGTTATGAATGGAGGCAACAAACCACAGTGTCTATGACTGAAACACTGATAGAAACTCCAGGTATTTGCTTATCATTTTATAGTTGTTGTAGATATCACAAAATTTAATTCACAATTGTTTCTACTTTGAAATTACTGTAAATATTTATTGGACTCCCACATGGGTGCATAGGGGTCCATAGGCTTCACCAGAATGCCAAAGAGATTCATTGGACAAAAAGGGTTCTGACTCCTGGTCTAACCAGTACACCTTAAGTCACATTAGCATTCCCCATAGCTTGCAACAGCCCTTGTGATTTAGATTAGAAAGGACAGTCACAACAACTTTGGTATATAAACAACACTTTTCCCAAGTTGGGAAAGACAAGCAAAAATAAATATATAGAAGACAAAATAAATGGGCCCATATACCTGTAACATTGCAAATCCCCTGGCCATTAACATTCAATACTGGTTTCTGGTTGTCCCAGTCACTTGTAAGAATGATGCATTTTAATGTGAATGAGTATGACTCTCTCTTTTGCCTTCTCTTTCTAGGACTGGAATAAAGGACTCTTTGCAAATCAACATCCCACAGCACCTGGGAACTAGCAAAGCCCCTCTGCACGTTCCACTTGAAGCTCTGGACCAGGGGTCCAGAGCTAAGGCCCATGAGCTGCAAGTCCTGCAAGGTCATTTCCCTGCCCCAGAGTTAGGGTCGCCCTAACTCTGAATCCACTTGAAGGCACACAACAACAACAATCCTAATTAACTTGACTATCTCATCAGCCAAAAGCAGGGCTACACTTTGCATTGAAATACTGATAAGTTTATGTTGCTTACAATTATTCTTCATTTTAAATATTGTATTGTTCATTCAATTTTTTTTGCACTACAAATAAGATGTGTGCAGCATGCACAGGAATTCATTATTTTTTTTCAAACTGTAGTCTGACCCTTGCAACAGTCTGAGGGACCGTGAACAGGCCCTCAGCTTCAAAGGTTTGAAGACTCCTACTCTTGATTACTGAAGAGAAGACTAGGTGTTCAGTGCTCTATGGTTTACTCTCCTTAAAAAACCAAAAACCAAAACCTCTCTGTCCTGAGTCAAGCTGGCTTCACTGTAGCCATTCAGCCATTATCATTCATTGCTGATTATTCTTATTCTTGATCTCTCTCTTTCTCCCCCACATCATAGACTGTAAGTCCTCAGGGCAGGGAAGGAGGAGCCCCATCAATTCTGGCATCAGCGCTTCTGATGCGGAGGTATACAAATGCTAAATTCCAGATTACAGTGGAAACCTGGCAGGATGAATGAGCCATCTCAAACCAAGTATTATCTTGTCAGAAAGCTGGATGGACTGGAAGCAGAAGGAAAAGTTTTTAAGCTCGTTGAGTTCGAAGCAACATTTTTTTATTGGCTGGAAACATCAGATTAAGTGATTTGTTTCATCCAGTATTCAGTTTCCAGTGACGCTCAACTGGATGCGTTTGGAAGATCATCAGCAGAACACAAAAGGTGACAGTCATTCCACTGTTTATCCCAAGCAAAAATGTATTTTGGGAAATGTCAAGAGGCTGTTTACATATTGGGAGCAAAAATAACCAGTTAATCTTAAGCACAAATGTATAAAATATTCAAGATCTAGCAAAAAGTTACTTTTTTTTATAACAGCTTACGGAATGCTCCCAGTCTTGCAAGTGCTATTCTTTGGGAAGACAATTTCCAGAACCCAGCAATCAAGCTATGGGATTCTGGGAGGTGTAGCTCAACAGAACTGTTCTCTCCATCCTTTTAAGAATAAAGAGCTAAATGCCAGATCTGGCCCACATTCATCCTACTCCTTTGACCTCCAGTCCTTGCCATGTACCTACCTGGCAGGTGCTCCAGCAGCAACAGCAACACTTAATCCACACAAGGGTAGGCTAACAAAGCAGAGCCCCAGAGACTGTTCAGCCGCTCACCTGTGCCCTGGTATTTGTGACTCCTGCGTATGGCTCAGCCCCTCCCCACCGCTGTCCCTTTATAGGGCGTTGGAACAAGTAACATGATCTCAACCTCTAGGGGAATTCCAGGCACAGGTACTCAGCTCCTGCCGAGGGAATTTGCATAATATGTGCCACCTGGGTCCGTGCCAGCCTACCTTGCCGGGAAATTGGGGCTGCAGTTTAATCATTACTGGAGGAGAGCTTGGCAGGGGCTGTGCCAGTTTCACCCAAGATGGTGTATTTTTTTCTTCTTCTGCCTTCCATATCACTGCTGTTTATTTGCTCATCAAAAGCAGATAAGAGGCCTTGCTTGTGCCACCCCTGCCAGGAATAGAACCATATAAATGGGCTTGGTGGGGCAACTGGTAGATGCCATCTCATGAGTGGAAGGCACGAGGCTCAGGAATGGAGGTGGCAGTCAGCTCGATGAATTTTAGAAACAGTCAAAACATCAGTAAATATCAACAAATCAATGGGGCAAGAGTTCACACATCTGACAAGGAGCACTGCACACAACTGTGCCACAGCATTTGTTGTTGGTCTCACTTGCTCAGAAGTAAATCCCAAATGGCATTCCTATACCTGCTTGGGCAGAAAGACTTGAAGTGGATGGGACATATATCTGAATAAGCACACATAGGATTGCACTAAAACTGTGCCAGAAATAAAGATGATTTAAATTGTAAGATTTAGTTCCTTTACGTTACTGTCAGTGGAATATGCAGCCTGGTCGCATGTATTTTTGCAAAGTACAAAAGAATGCAAGATGACCTTTTTCCAGCTGGATATACATGGAAACTGCTATAGTCCCTACTTGCCAAAGGCAAATAGCCAGCCTGATGCTGTCTCTCTGTATTGCCCTCCCCATCTTCCTTAGACATTGGGCCAAGTTATGTGTGTGTGTGTGTGTCAGGAGCAACTTGAGAAACTGCAACTTGCTTCTGGTGTGAGAGAATTGGTCGTCTGCAATGATGTTGCCCAGGGGATGTCCAGATGTTTTACTATCCTGCATGAGAAGCTGGAGCTGACACATGGGAGCTCACCCCTTTCCCTGGATTTGAGCTGCCAGCCGTTTGGTCAGCAGCACTGCCAGCACAAGATTTTAATCCATTGTATCACTGGGGGCTCCGAGTTGCACAACGGGCCAAGTGAAAGTTTGGAGGAAGCCTGCTGTAAGGTTTCTTGCTTCTATATTGATCAGTTGTCTTCAAGAGGCATAACAGAGCAGTACTGATTGGAAGAGAACAGGATTTCTGCAACAGCTAAATATATTCTGTATGTTAGAAGCTTTGTTTGTTAATTTGTTTTCATGATCTGCTACGTATTGCTGACTGGAGTTTTAGACCATTAATGATTCAGATTCTGTAGAAGAATTTGTGAGGCATCATTGGATAACATGGTACATCCTAAGCAGTGTCACTTTCTATTATTATTATTATTATTATTATTATTATTGATTCATTTATCCGATCTCAGGGTTTTTTGGCAAGATTTTTAAAGACATGATTTGCCATTTCTTTCTTCCAAGGCAGAAATTATGTGACTTACCCAAAATCACTCAGTGGGCCTTCATGGCTGAGTAGAGATTCAAACCATGGTCTTTGACATCCCTAATTAAGCACTTAAAACCATTACATAATGCTTGCATTCTTCAAGGTCTTTTACAAGACAGCAAAACAAATCCACATTAAAATGCATACTCCCCCCAGCAAAATAACGTTATTTTAAAATGTAATTAAACACTCTATTGAATGAAAACAATTCAAAGTCTACAAAAAGATAATAATAAACAAGGTGCACCAGATTAAATGCCCATTGCAATAATTTCCTAAAAACCTGTTGGAATAAATAAAAAGGTATCACTTTCTGAAAAGACAGGGAATTTCAGAGCCTTGGATCAATTGCAGAAAAGACCACTAAAGAATGCAAGGGCCAACCCTGGCCGGGACTGCTTTCCACCTGGAAACCAATGCCCTCACTGCAGGAGAAGATGCAGATCAAGAATAGGGCTCCACAGTCACCTACAGACCCACCGCACGCTGCACACTGACCCTGGAAGACTATCCTACTCGGACAATGAGGGATCGCCTAATTGAAAAAAAAATATTGAAAATTAGATCCCATTCCTGATTGAAAGGTCACAGGTTCGAATCTTGGGAGCGGCGTGAGCTCCCACTGTTAGTCCCAGCTTCTGCCAACCCAGCAGTTTGAAAACATGCAAATATAAATAGATCAATAGGTACCGCTCCGGCGGGAAGGTAACGGCGCTCCATGCAGTCATGCTGGCCCACATGACCTTGGAGGTGTCTACGGACAATGCCGGCTTTTCGGCTTAGAAATGGAGATGAGCACCACACCCCAGAGTCAGACATGACTGGACTTAATGTCAGGGGAAACATTTACCATTCTGTGCTGGCGGAACATAAAGCCGCCCTATTTATGCAGTGGTAATGTTCCACATGACAGTCTGGTGGCCATTCTAAACCATATGCATGTATGCATATGAGCTGTGCCCACATACAGAACTAGCCTTTAAGTTGACCCATTACCTGGTGTATGAATGTAAATGCTTAAGTAAAGGGGCACTGGATAATTATGTAACTTCATAAAAAAATATTTGGTATTTCATGGAGTCACCACAGGTGTAATGTGTCAACAGAGTTTCAGCAAAAAGTTTGATAGAACTTTAAAGATTAATAAATTGAATATATTATGAGCTTTAAAGATATTGCCTCATCTCTTCAGCTATACAGATGATGTCCAGGATTAAGAACTTGAAGAAGTAACTTTTCTGGCTCCATTCTCAGAATCCCCCAGGCATCCTAATAATTGGCCGTGCTGATTAGCAGGTTCTGGGAATTGTAGTTCAAAAACAGTTCCAAACTCATTAAAAAAAAAACCCTTTGTGGCATAGATCTAGTAAATGTCACACGTAGGTATCAATATGCAAGTTTAAAGTTCAATTAATTTCAGAGCAGTTCTTAGGGGTCACATTCCTGTGATAGGTGGTGCCACAGGCAGAGGTGAGGGGCCAAAATACCAGAATGTTTTAGCATAAAGCTCTTGCTACTGGTATCTAAGCTTTAGGAGAGGCATTTCAACATTGTAAATTATTGGGGGAAGGCTGTGCATGAATTATGAAGCCACAGACAATGGCACCATATGAAAGTCAATCTATGAAACACAGGAGGACTGAATTAAATCTTCAGGATGTCCAAGACTTGGTCCTTGAAATTCCCTACTTCTTGTTCATGTGGTTGACTCCACTGTGCTATAATAAATTTCTTTAATCTTAAAATTATTTGATGTCACAGACCAAAACAGTTCATATGAGTATGCCTTTAAGTCACTGGTTGACATACATCAGGTCTGCACAACCTGTGGTCTTCCAGGTGTTTTGGACTTCAGTTCCCAAAATTCCTGACCATTGAAATAGCTGGCTAGAACTTATGGGAGATAGAGGCCCAAATACCCGGAGGGCCACAGGTTATGCAGGCCTGATTTATAGTGACCTCATGCATTTCATAGAGTTTTCTTGGGTAACAGCTATTTGTGTATATGTGCCCTCAAGTGACCTATCAGCTTATGGACACCCCATGCATTTCATAGGATTTTCTTAGGTAAGAGGTGGTTTTGGCAGTATAAACTAGAGCCTCTCCTTATTAGTTTCTAAGATCAGATGGATCTTTAAAATATTTAGGCCTGCCCGACAGGGAATTGCCTTGCCAGTTTTAGCAAATACAAAAGGCATTCTTATCTCAACTAAAAATAATGACACCAATTGTGTGGTGTCATTAATTTTGTGTGGTATTTTTGTGTGGATGTGTGGTAAAGGATAGAGCGGATTATAGATGAATGTGTCTCTGATTACTAGATGCAAGTGGAGAGGGGATGTTTGCTGGTTTTTCGTGGCCACAGTTAGAAACAGAATGCCTTTAAGCCTAAATCAGCAAAATCCATATTTGTGCTCAGCCTTGGGCAAAGATGCTACCGCTCCTTGCCCTCCACTGCCCCCTTCTGCTACTATGCAAAGTGACAGCCATGCATTTTCACAAACACGCATGACGTAAGAGCACTTTTAGCCTTCACTGCTTCTCTTATTAACATTGTCAGTAGAAGATCAAAAGTGGAAGGGAGCTGTCTTATAACCAAATGCCAGTGTCAGTTTTGCATTCAACAGACAGGCTGTGGAAAAAACAAAACAAAAATGAGGGGATTTAACTATCATTTGTGAAAACATCCATTGTCTCACAGAATTCAAAAGGACTCATTCTTCCTGCATATGTATTGAGCTGGCATGATTACATGATGAGCTGGGCAGATGCCCTTCTCCCCTTTCCTACCTGGCAGAGAATAGGATTTAAAGGTATCTGCATTATTTTTTTTATTAGCAGCAGCTTTGTGGAGATTCAAACAGGCCACCAACCTGTTTATCTTGCTGGGTCACAGGCAATGTACCTGTCACACCCCATTGACGTCAAACTCTAATAGAGTGGCATTTCTGAGAATGTTACCTGGCATGGTGTTTGCCCTAATATCCTGATGGCACCTCGGAGGCACAGGTCTGGTTGGTGAACTCTTCCACTTGATTCTGGCATTTGCAAAAAAACAATAGCCATCAATGGAGCATCTATCACTTTAGACCTTTATGGACAACCCTTTTGGAAAGATCTCTTGACTTTCCAAAAAGGAGAAAACAAATGGAGAGAAAGCATTCAAACATTGGCCCTAAACACAATGCAGTCAGTTTTTTATTTATTTATTATTTAAACTTATATGCCGCCACTCCCCTGGGGCTCGGAGCGGCTTACAAGGATGGCTAAAATCTAACAAAATTTAAAAGCAATTTAAAACAATTTAAAAACAGTAATATCAAACATTAAAAGCCTGTCGAAACAGGTATGTCTTACATGCCCTGCGGAAAGCTGGTAAGTCCCGCAAGGCACGGACTTCAGGTGGCAGAGTATTCCAGAGTGATGGTGCCACTGCTGTGAAGGC